GGTGGCTGCGATGATGGGCTCAAGTACCGCAGGGATTGTGGGGCTGGCGCAGGATCGGGCAGTGTTTCGTTCTGCTGTGCATGGGGTCGCTATGAGTCGGAAACGACTCGACGGCACTTAACAACAACAACAAGCATGGTTTAAAATTAGGAAAGGTGTGTGTTATGGCTGTATCCTTTCACTATACTTACTCAATCTGTATGCTGAGCAAATAATTCCAGAAGTTAGACTATATAAAGTAGAACACAACATCAGGATTGGAGGAAGACTCATTCAACCTGTGATATCCAGATGACACAATCCTGCTTGCTGAAAGCAAAGAGGACTTGAAGCACTTATTGATGAAGATCAAAGATTGTAGTCTTCAGTATGGATCACATCCCTACATAAAGTAAACAAAAAACCCCAAAACTGGACCAATAAGCAACACTTTACAAACGGAGAAAAGACTAAAGTTGTCAAGGATTTCATTTTACTTGGATCAAAAATCAATGCCTGTGGAAGCAGCAGTGAAGAAATCAAATAACACTGCAGTGAGCAAATGTGCTGCAAAAGACCTCTTTAAACTGTTTAAAAACAAAGATGTCACATTAAGGATTAAGCTGTGTCTGGCTCAAGTCATACTATTTTCAGTCACCTCATATGCATGTGAGAAAGCTGGACAATTAAATAGGGAAGGCCAAAGAGTTGATGCATTTGAATTCTGGTGTTGGTGAAGAATACTGAATATACTGTGAACTAGAAGTACAAGGAGCTCTGGTGGCCCAGTGGCTAAGGCATTTGACTGCTAATCAGAAGGTTTACGGTTCAAACTCACCAGCCGCTCTGCAGAAGGAAGACCGGGCAATCTACTTCTGCAAAGATTTACCACATTGGAAACTCAATGGGGGTCACTATGAGTCAGAATTGATTCAATGGGAGTGAGTTTGTTTTTTGTTTATAAGAAATATAGGCAGAATGCTCCACAGAAGCGAGGATGGGGAGACATCATCTCACAAACTTTGAACATGTTATTAGGAGGGACCAGTCCCAAGTCAAAGACATCATCATGCTTAATAAAAGTAGGTCAGTGAAAAAGAGGAATACCCTCAACAAGATGGACTGGCACAGTGCCTGGAACAATGAACTTAAACATAGCAATGATTCTGAGGATGGCAAAGGACCAGGCAGTGCTTTGTTCAACCTGATGGCACCTAATAACAACAAGAAGATAAATATTTTAAATACTTGGCAAACTAGATAACATAAACAAAATTATTTTTAAGAAATTTCCTTACGTTATTTTAAAGAGATGCACTGAGACAAAATGAACAATATACTCCTACTAAAACAAAATAAATCACCAAAATTAGAAACAAATTGTTGTTGCTGGGTGCCATCAAGTCGATTCCGACCCATAGTGACCATATAAAATAGATGACAACTGTCCCACAGGGGTTTTTCCCGGCTGTAATCTTTACAGGAGCAGATCATCAGGTCTTTTCTTACACAGAGCTATTGGTGGGTTCAAACCACCTATCTTTCAGCTAACATCTAAGCACTTAAAATTGTGTTACCAGAGCTCCTTGTATTAAATCTCTATACTGCCATAAAAACTTATATTACTAAAGGGTCATATTATCAAAAATTGTGTGAAAGAATGGGAAAAAAATTTATGTAATGTACATTAAAGTACACCTTCTTCTATTTCATTTCATAAAGTTCCAATAATTTACATTCTTTTCCCATGGAATTTTTTTTACTCATTCATATTTCATTACTGCTAGAAAATGCCTGTTGTGTTAATAAATGCCAATTAAAATTACATATCATTCATTGCTTTATGCTATATTTTCTTTTGTTCATGTACAATTAACATTAAAAACCCACTGCTATCAAGTCAGACCCAACTCATAGTGACCCTTCCTTGGATTTCTGAGGCAGTATCACTACTAAAGTAGATAGCCCAATCTTCCTTCCGAGGAGTGGCTGGTTAGCAGTTAAATTCCTTTGCCACTACAATACCAGAGCTCCTACATTAGTCTATCATTTATCAAACTTGCAACTAAACACAGTAAATCATTTAGGAAATTAAACAATTTTTGCATTATCTTAGTGATACTGCAGTTATGCTATGGGGAAAAGTGCTCTCATAAAACAGTACTGTATAAACATTTAATTGATCTCTGAGTCTAATGTTTTTATGCTATGCTTAAATCTACTCAGTGACCATTAATTATTCTGGCAATTTTTCAACTGTATTTCAGATTTTTTAACCTTTTAAAAAAAATAAAAATACTAAGACACCTATAGAAGACATTGTGATACTTCTATTTTGTTTTGTATAATGTTATGTTATGTGCCATTGAGTCGGACCTGACTCATAGCGACCCCTCCTTGGGTTTCCGAGGCGGTATCACTACAGAAGTAGATTGTCCCATCTTCCTTCTGAGGAGTGGCTGGTGGGTTTGAACCGCCAGCCTTCTGGTTAGCAGTCAAGTGCCTTAGGCACTATGCTACCAGAGCTCCATTGTATAATAGTGAATAAAATTTATTTTTTAAATGGAACATGCCCTTCTCAGGCCAAAAATAAAACAAAAACCCTATATCTGTCCCTTTTTTCTATTTGACCCAAAGTAAGTCCTCATATAAATAAAGCAAAAATATACTTACAGAACTAGCATCAACATCACTGTGTATGGCAACTGTCTTAATGCCCATCTTCTTGCAAGTTTTAATAACCTATTTTTAAATACATTAATGTTATGTATTAATAATGATGCATATTTAAATGGACTTTTCAAAAATAAAATTCATAGAGTAAAATGGAAAATAAGATAAAAATCCTACTTACCCTACATGCAATTTCTCCTCTATTAGCAATAAGAATTTTATCGAAAGTCTGAAAAGAGAAAATATACATTAGAAATTATTGCTCAAGTGCACACATGCACACATACCATCTAAAAATTAAAACTCTACTTTCTAGTAAAAGACAATTAGTTTAATATTATTTTCAGTTATGGATATAGATTGTATCATTAGTCACAAATTATTAAAATATATTATCATATAAAAATGAACTTCAAAACAATATATTTTTAATGCCAATTTAGTCATGTATGAAAACTCTGAGAACAGAAAACACCAAGTTTTTACATAATTAACAGTGAATATGATCTTATTAAATACTGCCTCTTAGAGTGATATTAAAAACTATAAATAATATGTTCACTTACAAGAACTATTAATCTTATCCAGTAAGAGCTAACCCTATAATTATATTGTTAAAAACTACAAAAACGGTGTGAGGCAGTATCCTCTGACTTACTCTAACTTCACAAGGGATAAGGAGGATCCAGAATATCAACAGCCAAGAGTGATTCTTATGAGGTCATATATGCCTCCATCCTCCAAACATTTTACCAGTTCTGACACAAATCATCCCTCCTATGTTACTACATTTCTCTTTTGGGTCGATAATTCATTGCACTGGCCACACAGAACTCACAGTCAATACTCATGGTTATGGGGTTTATTACATAAGCAACAGTTACAACTCAGGTTCAGAAATGCTCAGGACCATTCTTTGATCAGGACAACATCCCTTCAACAATGCCCTCAGGCATGCCTCTCTTTAGCTTTCAGCCTCTCTGCCTGGCATTTACCCTGCTTGGGCAAGTATTACAAAGCTCTTTTAACTCTGCCAATAGATACAGCCAACTCCATCTTCCTAAAGACACTCAGTAGTCTCGCTCCATGGGCCAACAAGCCTATACTCTGTCTCATGCAGATCTCTTGGTTCTGCTGTCTCTGCTGCTTCTTGTCCTCTTTCTGTCATCTCGTTACTATCTCAGAGTAGGGATATCAGGTCCAACGCAATCCATTCCTGGCTATTTCTTCTCTCTTGAGAGCTCCCTTTTCTGCCTCTGAGAAAGCTCATTTTAAGCCTCGCAAATGGCAAATCTGACCAATCCCCAGGTTAGGGCTCCACACAGCTTATTTCCATGATCTCACATCCACAAGGGTATCATATACCTTATTTACATTGTCAACAAGCTATCCAATTCCCCTGGTGCACAACAAGCACTTCATATTTGCATAGTTCCAACCTCCCAGTCATCTGGTTAGAGTCACAAAGACCACGGCTATTGTTATTAAGTACTCTCAAGTTAGCTCTCAGTGACCCTACGTACAACAGAACGAAACACTGCCTGGCCCTGTGCCATCCTCACAATCCCTGCTATGCTTGAGCCCATCGCTGTACCCACTGTGTCAATGTGTTGCATTGGATTCACTTTCATCACTGACTCACTACTTTCCCAAGCACGATATCCTTCTCTAGGGACTGATATTCTTTCTGATATTCTTTGTTTTCAGAGGCCATGATCCATCTGACATTAATTCCACATCCTCTGCTGAACTCAACTGGAATTTCTGGAAGTTCCCTGTCAATATACTGCTGCAACTATTTTCAAATAATCTTCAGCAAAATTTTACCTGCATGTGATATGGCCATGGCTACAAGAGCCATATTAAGTAATTCACTGAAGCACAAATATCAACTCACCAGGCTAATTTATACATATGTTGATGTCATCATTGTTGTTGTTAGGTGCCATTAAGTCAGCTCCGACTCATAGACACCCTATGTACAACAGAACGAAACACTGTCCAGTCCTATGTCAGCCTCACGATCCTTGCTATACCTGAGCCAACTGTTGCAGCCACTGTGTCAATCCACTTCATTGAGGGCCTTTCTCTTTTTCACTGGCCCTCCACTTAACCAAGCATGAAATCCTTCTCCAGGGAATGGTCCCTTCTGATAATATGACCAAAGTAAGTCAGATGAAGTCTGGTCATTCTCACTTCCAAGGAGCGTGCCAGCTGCACTTTTTCCAGAACAGATTTGTTCGCTCTTCTAGCAGTCCATGGTACTTTCAGAATTCTTCACCAATACCTTAATTCAAAAGCATCAACTCTTTTTTGCTCTTCCTTATTTATTGTCCAGCTTTCACATATGAGGCAATTGAAAATACCATGGCTTGGGTGAGGCACACCTTAGTCTTCAGAGAGTTACACACAACTGAGAGAGAGCAAACTTTCCCAGAACATTACTTCGTGCTGCTCCAACAGAAATACCCCAAGTAGATAACTTTAACAATAAGGAACTTTTAAGTTGCAGCTACTCAGTTGCTCATGGGAAATTCCACAACTAAGTTAACTGCCAATCTCATTACAGGATATAACTACTATCAGCTGGCCAGCCAAGTTAACACATATTTGCATGATCCCACCCAGTAATCCAGTGGGAGTTACAAAGACTATGGTTAGAAAAGTCATACCATGTAATTCACTACACCGCAGTCACTCTACTGAAAACAAAGGATACACAAGTAAATTTATTCAATTTCTGATCTAGACTATTGTTGTTGTTAATTGTCATCGAGTTGATTCACACTCATGACAACCACATGTGTGCAGAAGAGAACTACTCCATAGGGTTTTTAAAGCTATAACTTTTCATCTATGTTCTGGGTGGGTTCAAAAATTTATTCAGATTTTATTACAGAAATTGTTGTTAGGGGCCATCAAGTCGTCTCCAACTCATAGTGACCCTATATACAGCTGAACAAAATATTGCCTGGTCCTGTGCCAGATCCACAATCCCTGCTATACCTAAGCCCATTGTTACAGCCACTGTGCCAATCTATATTCCTGAGGACCTTCCCCTTTTTCATTGACCCTCCACTTAATCAAGCACAATATCCTTACAACATGACCAAAGGAGGTTTAACAAAGTCTTGCCAGTCTCACTTCCAAGGAGGATTCCAGCTGCACTTCTTCCAGGACACATTTGTTACTCCTTTTAGCAGTCCATGGTACTTTCACCATTCATCGCAACACCACAACTCAAAAGTATTGATTCTTCTTCAGTCTTCCTTACTCATCGTCCAACTCTCACATGCATATGAGGGAACTGAAAATACCAAAGCTTGCGTCAGGCGCACCTTAGTCTTCAAGGAGATATCTTTGCTCTTCAGCACTTTAAAGAGGTCCTTCACAGTCGATTTGCCCAGTGCTATACATCAGCTGATATCCTGACTGCTGTTTCCATTGGTGTTGACTGTACAACCAAGCAATGAGGAGTCTTTAACAACTTCAATCTTTTCTCCATTTATCGTGATGCTGCTTTATAGGTTCAGTTGTGAGGAATTTTGTTTTCTTTATATTGACGTATAATTCATAATGCAGACGGTAGGTAGTCTTCAATATTCATCAGTAAGAACTTCAAGTCATCCTCACTTTCAACAAGCAAAGTTGTGTCACAGGTTGTTAATGAGTCTTCCTCCAATCTTGATGCCATATTCTTCATCATACAGGCCAGCTTCTCTGATTATTTGCTCAGTACAGAGATTGAGTAAGTATGGTGAAAGGATACAATCCTGGCACACTCCGTTCCTGATTTTAAACCACGCAGTGTCCCCTTGTTCTGTTCAAATGACAGCCTCCTGTTCTATGTACAGGTTCCTCATGAGTAAAACTAAGTGTCTGGAATTCCCATTCTTCTTAATGTTATCCATAATTTGTTTTGAGCCACACAATCAAATGCTTTTGCATAGTCAGTAAAACACAAGTAAATATCTTGCTGGTATTATTAGCTTTGAGCCAAGATCCATCTGACATCAGCTAGCCCTTGCTCCACGTCCTCTTCTGAATCCACCTTGCATTTCTGGAAGTTCTCTGTCAATATCCTGCTGTAAATCTTTTTGAATCTGAAAATCGTCAGTAAGATTTTATTTGCATATGATGTTAACGATATTGTTCAATAATTTCTACATTCTGTGGGATCACTTTTCTTTGGAATGAGTACCAATTGGATCTCTTCCAGTCAGTTGGCCAGGTACCCGACTTCCAAATCTCTTGGCATAGCTAAGTGTCTCTAGCACAGCATCCATTTGTTAAAACATCTCAGTGGATATTCTGTCAATTCCTGGAGCCTCGTTCATCGCCAATTCCTTCAATGCAGCTTCAACTTCTTCCTTGAGTACCATTGGTTCCTGTTCATATGCCACCTCTTGAAATGGATGAACATCAAACAATTCTTTTGAGTATAATTATCTATGTATTCCTTCCATAGTTTTTGATGCTTCCTCCATCTTTTAATATTTGCCCATAGAATGTTTCAATATTGCAACCTGAGGCTTAATTTTTTTCTTTTTTTTTCAACTCTTTCAGCTTAAGAAATGCCGAGCATGTTCTTCCCTTTTGGTTTTGTAACTCAATATTTTTGTATATTTCATCTTAATAACTGTCTTTTTCTTCTCGAGCTGCTCTTTGAAATCTTCTGTTCAGCTCTACTTTCTTGACATTTTTTCCATTTCCGTTAGCTACTCTTTGCCAAGGAGATGTTTCTGACATCCATTTGGGTCTTTTCTTTCCTTCCTGTCTTTTCAATTACCTTTTGCTTTCTTTAAGGATGATGTTCTTGATGTCATCTCACAGTTCCACTGGGTTTTGGTCATTGGTGTCCAATGCATAAAATCTATTCTTTACAAAGGTCTCTAAATTCAGGAGAGGTATATTCAAGGTCATATTTTAGCTCTTGTACACTTGCTTAATTGTCTTCAACTTCAATTTTAACTTGCATATGAGCAGTTGATGGTCTGTTCCATAATCAGGTCCTAGCCTTGTTCTGGCTGAAGGTATTGAGCTTTTCCCATCACCTCTTGCCACACATGTAGTCAATCTGATTCCTGTGCACTCCATCTGGGGAAGTCCACGTAGACAGCCGTCGCTTGTGTTGTTGGAAAAAAAGATATTCGCAATGAATATATCTTTGGTCTTGCAAAATTCTATCATACATTCTCCAGCATTATTTCTATCACCAATGCCAAATTT